CTACCGGGAAACCTCTTCCAGCATGGGCTCCTCTCTCCATGGGTCTGCATGTCCCTGCCAGGAGCCTGCTCAGCACAGGCTTTCCATGGGCTCACAGTCCTCTCTGGGGCATCAGTCTGCTCTGGGAGGGTCTCCTTCATAGACTGCAGGTGGATGTCTGCCCTCCCACTGACCTCCATGGGCTGCAAGGGCACAGCCGCCTCACCACGGTCTGCAGGGGAACGTCAGCTCCAGCACTTGGAGCACCTCCTCCCCCTCCTACTCCACTGTCCTTGGTGTCTGTAAGCTGTTCCTCTCACATGTTCTCACTCCACTTTTCTCTGGCTGCAATTCCATCTGCCCAATAACTTTTTTCCTTCTTAAATGTTGTCATAGAGGCATTACCACAATTTCTGATTGGCCTAGCCTCGGCCAGTAGCACATCCATCTTGCAGCCAGCTGGCATTGGCTCTGCCAGACGTGGGGGAAGCTTCTGGCAGCTTCTCACAGAAGTGACTCATGTAGCCTCGCCACTACCAAAACCTGGCCACACAACCTCAATATAAATTCACATATCATTGTGTTTATGCACCAATTAAGCACAGAAGATAACCTGCTCTAAAGATGAAATAGTCTTACGGGAAAACAAAACAAAAGAAAACCTATGCAAGCAAAAGTTGATCAGAAAATAAAGTATAACTCAATGGAGACCTAGCATACTGATGGACTCCAGAAGCATTCCTATTGCAATCACTAGTTTTGGCTGCAGAGCCACTGACAAACACTGCAAGCTGAGATCTGCAGTGTCTGTGCCTCAAGGTTCTCCTTCAACTTCAGTTTCCAGTTTTATAAATTTTGTTTTGTTTCATTCTGTTAGGAATTTTTGAGAACCTCAGACTTACTTTTTTCCTTAGTACATAGTATTAGTATACTTAACTGTTTACTGAGACATTAAGCAAAAAGTCATGAAGTGACAGTAAATTTGTGATTCCCTATACTGTCATTTATACCAAGCCATTTCCCACCAGAGGACTGCATTTTAAAGATTTTTTTTTCTGAAGTTCTACAGTTAACCAATTGCTTGCACTTAGTTGCCTGCCTGTTTTTTCCAGCTACATAACTGTTGGCTGCATGCTAGGTTTTATCCTTTAACAGGAGAAAGGCACATGTTCCTTAAAAGGAAATCCCACGCTGCTGCTCAGCTGTGACTCAACTAACTTGGCAAGATCAGATCCACACCAACCTTGCTGAGCCACGTGGGTGAGAGTGTTCAAAGTGTTAATAGAGCCACAAGTAGTATGGAGAACAGTGCAGAACTTGCTGTTCACATGAGGCAATCAGCTTCATTAAAGAGTAAATTAAAAAATCACTTAATCTTTTATTGCAGAAAACCTCCCAGAAACTACTGAAACCCACAAAACTAGGACATTTCAATTTGTAAGGTAGAGGTGAAAATGTTACACACTACATGTGGTTCATCTGTGCATATGCTACCAACACAGAAAGTAGTGCTGTAAGAAATACAGCACTACTACTATGTAATCTTTTTAATCCAAGTTTTATTGCCACTGAACATCTGGCACACACATCCCTCGTACAAACCAAGAACCTGTCAGGCAGAGCGCTATCCCTGATTACTGCAGGCTACAAAGCAGGCTTCTTCTCTGCCTTCTTGTATCACTTGGAGAGAATTCCAGAGGTGCTGGAAAACGGTAGCTTACCCTGCCCCTTGGAAAATGCTATGGAAAGGAAGTAGGGCAGTTATGGACACAGAGGAGATGGGAGCCTTACCTGATTCCATTCCTTTCTAGTTTATAGAAGCCACTGTCCTGCTTTAGTCACTGTACTCTCTGATTGCTTTTCAGTTGCTGAGCAATTGAACTGACGCTTGTTCTTGCAGGGTTTTTTTTCGTGTTTATTTGGGGATTTTTTTCTTTAATTTTTTGTCCCTATGGGATACTTGTATGATGCAGCATTTTGGACCTGATCAAGAACACAGCGGGATGTTAGAGAAAAAACTGAGAAAAAAGTGTGTCTTCCACCAGGAGCAGCAATCAGAGTAGAATTTATTGTCTGGAGAAGTACTTTTTGTGTTCTTAGGTAAATGCTCCAAAAGCAGTCTGTGGAGAAATGCATTGTATTTTTAGGTGCTTTCTACTACCTCTCAGAGGAACAGTAATTAAGTGGGTGTCTAGAAGGTGACAAACTTTTGCTTACTGTTGGGGCCCTCAAAGCCAAGGGATGACTTTTTTTTCCTAGTTTGTTTTCCCGAAGTGGATGAATTAGAAGTGTGTTCTTTCTGGAGATGAATCATACGCAAACCTGTATTTACAGATGCTTGTTCTTCTGTTCTGCTTCAGGAAAGAGGTAATCACTCACACGATTTCAGGAAATAGGTTTCAGAGAATGACTGTAAAAAATGAAAAAGTTTCCTTCGGGAGTGTTCTTTCTGCCATATATTTAAAGGAAAAGCATGGTTGTTAAACCAAAATATGTTTTTCTCCAAGGCTAAGCCTGTACAAAAAAAGGGAGAAAAAACATCACAACACATGTACTTAGCACTAAACAATAAGAATTTTACATCCTTCTCCAAAAGCAGAAGGAAAAGTGAAATACATGCAGCCTGATGTCATAGATTTGACTTAAAGAAGTAATTCCTTAGTGTTTTAGTTCGTCAAGGCTTCACAAATAATCTCCCCTCCTGAACACAGAATATGCTTTCATTTTAGTTTCATCTGAAAATGCAAATCTAAATCACATTATGAGAATTTTTGAAGGGGCTACTACAGAACTATTTCTGTCATTTTTAGCTTTTTGAATATGAAAATGAAACAAAATCTATTTCCTGGTATGCATGCTAATCTCAGAATTTGGAACACAGACGTAAGCAAGAATGTAAAACTAAGCCTTTTTTTTTTTTTTTTTTTTTTGCAGAGATAGCCACTTCTGTAACTTTCTTTGAAAAGCAAACAAAATTTCCTTTAGTTGTTACAAGACCTGTAGAAATCACGTATATAACTGGTGATTTTTTTATTGGTGATTATTTTTGTCTGTTACTTTGGGATGTGTTTACTAAGTTTAGTCTTTAACATCCTTCTTTAATTTTTGATTCTGTGGTTATGCCTGTGTTATTATACCCTACACCTAGTGAAAAAGGATATTTCATACAACAATACTTTCTTGCAATGCTACACTAAAAAGTGTTTAACTATAATAGAAGATAAACAAAAGCAAAAATGTCAGGTATCATTAGATAATCCGTAATGTTTGGAGTCCTAACACAGATTGGACTTTCACAGTCCCATCAAGTGATAGCGTGCTTTATCAGTCCAGAGGCTGGGAAGTTTTGCAGATCCAGCTACACCTGACCCTGACAAACTGCTGAAACTTAACAATATAAGGATTTGCCATCTATTTCAGTAGAATTCTTTGCATTTGCAGGGTTCTGTCCACAGGTATCTTGATGTGCAGAGTCTTAAGATATGCAGGAGCACAACCAATGTAGCACACTACTCTCCTACTCTTTTTGGTTTGGATTCCACTGGCATATTAGGTAATTATATTTGGGAGGCATCAGAGTATTTTTATTTTGCAGTTTATTTCCTTTCTCTGCTTGGAAGAAGTCTGTAGTGTCCCTGAAGCATGTTTGTGTGAACTGCAATCTGGGAAGATACATTAAAAATGAAAAGCAAAGTAGTAGAGGATGCAATACCACAGAAACTTTCTGTGAGATTAACGACTAGATATTACAGAAGAAAACATGCTGTAAATGACTTTATTTCAAAATCACCAGGTATCCTTTGAACTCCATATTCAAGAAAAACAAATATGCAAAGCAATGTACCCACTGAGATAATTTCTAGTTCTGAAATGGCCTATATTTTGATTCCTGTGAGATAATGCTATAGGACATGGGTATACTTCTGCACAGAGTAAAAACCCACACATTAACATTAGAGAAATGAAAGTGACAAGATTGTCCTTAAATAATTATATTTTGAGAGTTACCAAATTGCCGACAGGTAAAAGCTAGCTTTGAAATCACTGTTTGTCATGAACATGAGGCTGTTGGTAGTTTGACTCACCATCTACTGAACTTTTACATGGCTTTTTAGTTCTTGCCTGTTCCAACTTGTATTCTTCTTTTAATAGACAACCCGATTCCTGAGCTTTCAGGTGAGGTATGTTTACTTGCAATGGACAAGAAAACAAGGAACAAACTCAACATATAAGAAGTTACAGAAAAGCGTATATTTCCAAAGTCAGAACTGTGCAATAAATCCCGGCAGGTGGGACAGAACTAGCACACTCACGCACTGCTTAAAGAACCACCCGCGCATTTTTCCTTTGGCCCAATTAACACACGCACTACTGTGCAGCCAGACCGCACTGCTTCTGTTTACCACGGTCGGACAAGGCTAGGTCTGTCCCTCGCGCTCGCTAGTCTGATGCCCTGTGCCTCACTTCAATCCAGCTTTCACCTCACCGCAGCTCCTACAGACGGAGACTTGTCAGACACGAGAAGCCCTTGTCGCCCACACTGACTTTCGGGTGAGAGCGGGGGCAGGAAGAAGCATCCGCCCGCACGGCAGCGGTTCCGCTTCCCGACTGGGAAGGGGTTTGTCAAACCCCTGGTGCCCTCTCTAGTGCCGGCGAAGCTGGACAGAAATGCTTTCGGACAACGCTGTCCGGCACATGGCGTGATTCCCGGGAATATGCTGTGCAGGGCCAGGAGTTGGACTCGATGATCTCTGCGGGTCCCTCTCAACTCAGAATATTCTGTGGTTCCGTGACGAGGGTGCTGCCGCCCCCACGGCAGAGCCGTGCTGCGCTGTGCCTGCCCTCTGGCCGCTGGCACGGCGTCCCTGCGGCTAGTGCCACCGGGCTGTGCGCGGCGCCGCCTCCCCGCCCGGAGCCGAGGGCCCGGCGGGGCCGCGGCGCGGTGACGCGGGCGCGGGAGCACCGCCCAGTCGGGGGAGGGCGGGGGCTGCGGGCAGAGCGCGGGTCGGCGCGGAGCTGCTGCCGCGTCCCCGGCCTGCGCCGCCGTGTATGGCGAGGGAGCGGGCGGACGCTGCCTGCGTGCCGGGCTGCACCGCCAGCGCCGTCGGGTGAGTGGGGCCGGCGCCGCCCGGGGCGAGTGGGGGGTGGTGGCTGCACCCGCCGTGTCCCGCGTCCCGTCCCGCGGGCGGGGGCTCCCCCGGGGAGGGCGGGCACTGGAGGGGCGCGGGTGGCCCTGCGGCCGGGAGGGTGTGCGGAGCACCGCCGCTGCTCCCTCCCCCTCCGTAAACAGCGCTCCCGGGCTCCGGGCCGGGCCGACCCGGCCGGCGGAGCAGCTGGAAGTCCGACTGCCGCGCCTCGTCAGCGTGGAGGTGGTGCGTGTTTGTGTGTTGTGGGAGAACTTCCTCGAGAATTCTTACATGGGCTTAAAAAAAAATTAAAAAATAAAACCTCGTTGCAGGAGGAGGGCAGGCAGGCACAGAAGCACATCTGTGATTTTTTTCTCTGTTATGTCTCTACTGAATTTGCTTCTGCGTGGGGAAATGTTTCCCTAGATGTGGGTTACGAGTTAAATCCATTTTCACAAGATGATGTTTTTTAAGAAAAGTGTTGCAGATAAAACGTCTTCAGAATTTTTTTTTTTTTGGTTGACTGAAGTCTAATTAGAACCTGATTGTGTCCTTGTCACCTCTGCAGTCAGTGACAGGTGAGAAGATGACACCTTCCTTTGGTTATTTGTAAATTGTTTTGTGCTGAGAGACATCGACTGTATTCTTTTTGGTTGTTGGGCAGAAGGAAGCATAGTTGGGAAGATTGTGATGGCTATTTACAGTTTCAAATGTGATTCTACACTTGAGGTTAGTTGCTTAATGGTGAATGTTTCTGACATCTTAGCCCTGTAAAGCTTTCCGATTTTTTATCTACTTCTTAATTTGTTCTATTGCTAATAAAATTCGATGTATATGTACTTTAGGTGAGAGAGAAGTATTTCTTAAGTTTGTATTCTAAGGAAAATCAAAATTAACAGGAGATTTTAGAGAGATTCTGCTCACAGTTAAGGTAGCTTGGAACAGTTTGATTAACTTTTTTTCCTCCCCCCCTTCTCAGTCTTCCTAGTATGTGGTATGGGAGTAATATTGTAGTGCTGTTCCTTGGGCCTGCCCATTTATCTTCCCTTTTTGGGGTCGGTGGCAGTAATTTGAGGATGCAGTAGGAATACAGTAGCCATCACTGTCTTCTGCTTGATGAGAGCACCTCCCATGTGATTTCAGGGGTGTAAATAGAGAATTTTTTATTAAAAAACTACAGTATTGTTGTGTGAAATGATAGAGATTTTAAGCAGTGGTGCACATTCCAGAGGAGCCTTAAATTTGAGCTATTTACAGAGTTTTTAATTTTTGTAAATGCCAGCAACAGCAATATGAGGAAGTAGTACTTACTCATCACAGCTTCCCCTCCCAGCAGCAAAAAGTTCACAGAATGCAGAAAATGGTTCAATGTCGTTATTGACCAAATCAGACTGACTGGAACTGCACAATGGAAAATGAAAGGAGGCTGCTACTGCTTTTCACTTGTAGATGTTCAGAGTGATGATTAGGCTAATAAAAAGGTTGAAATCTCTGTAGGATAACTAATTCTAGTCTATGTGGAGGTAATGTTATGCATGACCACAGACTACTACTACCACCTTGTACTAGCAATGGAATCTTCTTGCTGAATTTTTAAGTAAAGCAGTTGTTGAACAGGGTTGTTGCTTTGCCTTTGGTCTCTTATCTCAGCTCTGGAGCATTTTTACAGTATGACCTTATGTAAACAAATGGCTAAGTGATAAAGTTTGCAGTTACAAGAAACAACCTATCTTCTCACCTGAAAGAACTTTAAAAGGGAAATAAAACTCAGAAATGTAGTAATATTAAACAAAGACATTAATTAAATGGTGGTTGGTTATGAATAAAAGAGAACTACCATCAAATGTTACAAAATTTTCATTAAAAAAATTTTATATAGTTGACCATGCAATAATAAAACAAATACTTGTTTTAGTGGTCTTCAAAAAAAACCCCAATTGATTTGGAAGAGGGCAACCAAAATCTTGTGTCTTTTTTAATAAAAATAACTGGAGCTTAAAGGAGGAGGTTGAACTAGATGACTTCCTGAGCTGCCTTTCAACCCAGATTATCCTGTACCAGTGCTCCTGTTCTATTAGAGGCTAGCATATTTGTTGTAATACATCCCTCCAACTTTTTACTTAAGCTTGCTTGCAAATATAATCACTGTTATTAGGCAGTACACAGTTATATTTTTTCATTTAACTTAATAGAGCTGATGTTTCAAAACCTCTGACCCTAGCTGTGCACTGATTTTGGTGGGTTTCTGATGTATTCATATGTCCACCCACAGGGTTCTCAGCATGAGCCCAGTTAGATGACTAATATGAGTAATACTAATAATATCTGAGTCAACATTTGAGCTCATGCTTACGTTTGTATTTCTCTAACTTTTTTCAGATGTGATTTCTTGATCAGAAGGTAAATGAGGAGCTTTCTTGAATTTCTGGATATGAGATTTTGCAGATTATTGCATTAGGCAGATTTGTCTTTATGGAAACCCTCTAAAACAGTTTTATGTATAACAAAATATGTATATACAATGAGGCTTCTTTACAGTAGTCCTGTTGGAGGAACTGTAATCAGTTTTATTTGCCACATACAAATGGGTGCTGCATGCTGTGTTCATCTAGAGAGTACATTGTATCTGTCACTTAAGTGGGTTATATGCCTCCCAATACAGTGAAGGGCTACAAGGTACCAGTGTAAGGTATGTTGTCGTTGTCAGTTGCAGCCTGTGAGATGCTGGAAGAAAAAGAGTGATGCCTCACTCAAATGTTAAACTCTGTGAGCTACGCAGTACTGCAGAGAGTTCTGGTTTACATGGACAATGATAATCCCCATGTGTTATGTAGAATGACTTACCTGGAAGGCAATTATCTATCTAATTTTATGCAGTCATTGTATCACACAGTCAAATATGAATCTTTAAACTCGATTTGTAGAAAAAAAGTCCAATCTAATGCAGGTAACTATTGATTCAAAATCAATAGAAGCATTGTCTTTTTATGAGGTGAGTTGTCTCTGCATCTGTCTTTGACAATGACTTCCATAGTAGTATTACAGAGTTCCTATTGTTGTTAGTAGATTGCTTTTTAATAACGGTTGCACATTTCCTTTTATTAGGAAAAGAGGCAATAGCTCAGAGTGTTTTGATTTTCTGTCTTCTTGGCTGTCTTCTGGTTTTATGTGGTGTTTATTTGCAGGGGAGGGAGGAGGGAATATGTGTATGTGTGCGTATTTTCCTGGAATCTTTAGTATTTTTTTCATAGCTCATATAAATATGTGATTCTAGTTTTCTGTGTTTCTTGTGATGTCACAAAAGACAGTATTCCAGATGAACTGAGAATGCTTTCAACCTCTTTCCTTTTTTCATTGGAACACTTTGTTTCTTGTCCTGTGTACATCTATTAAGCAGAGATTCTGTTGAGCTGCACATCCTGTGCATGATTGTTTTGTTTATCTGCTTACACTTGGCTTAAAATTCAGTGCCATGTGGGAATAACTGCAAGTTATTCTTTCAGGAGTTTATTATTTTGTGTTTGTTGGCATCTAATGTCTTTTGTGGTTTTTTTTGCTTGGCTAGCTCTCAGTTTTGATCCTGCTCAAGTCTTATGTAAACTGGTTATCACCAAAGTTGTTTCTAGGCTAGGACTTTGAAATGCCTATATGCTTGCACAAATATATATGATGTGATATTTCTTGCTCTGTGTGCATCCCCATGCACCCACTTTTTCTGATATTTACTCCTGTTCTTGATCTACATGTTGTTTGTGACGTAAAGTTTTTTATTGACACTCCAGTGGAGCTATCATCTTAACTGCTATTCCCTTTATCATTCTGCTTATGTACTTAAGCCTTTGCAGTAGATTTCAGACCTTAAGAAAATCTTTTACAAGTGTTGTAAATAAATTAATATATTATACATGTTCAAAGTGTTGTGATTGAAGTTATTTGCATGTATAATTAAAAATCAAAAATGCTTATTTATGTGACTTTATGGGTCTCAAGGATGTCTTTTTTATAGCATTTAATGAGAGTAATTTTCAAATCAATTTAAATCAGTTAGTGAGATTTTTTTTTTTTTTGCTCAGTCTAAATCATAATGTTTACCAGAAACAGTGTATGGGGATGAGAACTGTTTTGGGAGATTTTTGGGAGGAGTGCGTTATATTTTAGAATAGTGTTAACATTTTTAGTCTAAAATTGACACTTTGCATAAATAAGAGATCTTAAAGAACAACTCTAGTGTCCTTGAAATTAATATTTTCTGTCTTTGCTATCCATTAGTCTTGCTTGACTACTAGGATTTCATAGTTACGACCAAAATGTCTTCAGTGTGTCACAACACAGGCTACAGACTGAGTTTCTAGTGCTGTCAGATATTTTTAAAGTAAGAATAACTTTGCCTTCTGAATATCCAATCTTGGTACATAAATGTACAGTTAATTTGGTACCTGTATTTATACAAATATTTAGAGGCCTCAGGTATTCAGGTGCGTTTATATTGGGAGCCCTTTTAACTCCAACGTGAAATAATGGGATTGCTTGCATGGATTCAGTTGTGGGGATAGGGCCATGGGTGGTGTCTGAGTTATACTGAATGTGTTAGGTAGAAAGTGACTATGAGACTAATGCAAGGGCATTTGAGGACAAAGACTATGGGAGAACAAAGATTAATTCCCAGTAAATAGGGTTTTTTTGTGAGTTGAAAAGGTACTTTGGAAACCTATTTGAGCTAATCAAATAGCATAGGAGGCTCTGAGATTATAAAGGCAAAAGCCTCTTAGAAATACAGCTTTTGAATGAAGGTTCACATTGGAGGATCATGTTCAGAAAAAAATACAAGGTCTGTTATATGTGATATAGTTAGTATACTGCATATTATAAGCTGGCAAAAATTTTCCCTTTTGCTGCATTTCCCAGTTGTGGGGAATTCTGACATTGTTTAATGTTTGCTGCTGATTCTGCAAAATGTAGCAATGCTGTATTACATTTGTTCAGAAGTTAACTTTAATACAGTTGCAAGGGACAGCAATCCCTAGCTAGCGTTATAGTCTTTCTGAAACAAAGGAGCAGTGGAGGGGCGAAATAAAGCCACTTACCTATTTGTTGCATCCCATCTAAATGAACAAGTACTCCCAAGGGCTTGGAAATCAGGAGTAGGGGCCAAACAGCAACGGGTTGTATGAGGGGGCACCCCCTCAGAGATAAGCAGAATCAAAAACTTTCTTATTCCAGCCGTATAGTCTACAAAGGTAAAGAAGGCAAGTGTAATCTTCAGAAAATGGAGGGAATAAAAGGAATTGAAGTACGTGAAACCTTTAAAACCACTTTCTTATAGCTGAAGGAATCAAAACTGGACCCAAAACCAAACTATTCTCATTTTATAAGTTGTGCCGAGAGGATTGGTGAACTTGAAAACTTGAATGTTTTTTGCAAGTTTTCAACTTTATCATGAAACTACTGAAGACATTTTCCCTCACTATGAAATGTAACTCATAAAGAAAACTGCTTCTTGTACAAATAATGTTGGAAATTATAACTGGCATTTCAAATCTTATTCCTCACACTATTTTGCCATAATTTGCAGCACTGG